CTATCTATCTATCTATCTATCTATCTATCTATCTATCAAATTTATATGGCCACCCATCTTACAAAAAGTGACTCTAGGCAGTATACAACAGTTAATTAAAACAAATAAAAACAGTCATCATTAAAAAGTAAAAAACCACAAGGCACAAGAGAGAGTGAATGTGAATTTCTGCGAAGCAACTAAATTGCTTAGGCAATCTGTGTTTTAACTTTGGCCTTTTTCGTTTCTCACCCCAGTTTTCGGAGAGGGAAAACATCGTATTCTGAGCTATTACCCAAGCAATTCCCATTCTGCTCTCAGATCCTGCTTGTCAAATGTGATTCTCTGGCCCTTAGTGCTGGAGCAGCGCATCCTGGAGAGTGGCCAGTGCCAGCTCCTGCCGTTTCTTACCTGTAGTTCCCCTTCTTGGTCAGTAATTCCTTGAACTGGCCCAGCGTGACCACCCGGCCTTTGACAAGGGTGCGGTAGGGGATTGGCTCCCCGCAGAAGTAATACGCCACAACAATATTCTCGCAGGGCTGAGAGAAACCGCCGCCCAGTCTCTTTGGTGCCTTCATTCTAGGAGACCAAACACAGAGCAAGTCCTTTGCTTGGAGACATATTGCTGCACACCTGGAGTGGCTGTCTCGGGTGCAGGGGGCCCCCACACATCTTCTGGAGGAGATGCTCCTCCAGCTAGTCACCCAAAGCAAGATGGGGCAAGCTGCCAGTGAGTCTCACCAAAGGGGGCTCAGAACTGGGGAGAGCACGAGAGCTAATTATTGCGGCCTCAGCCATTTACCGAAGCCTTCTTGATAAGAAGCCAAGCCAAAGGACTTCCCCAATCAGTGGCAAGACCAACGGCGGGTGGAGGTGCTCCTTTTTTTGCAGACCCAGTTTCTCTTTTTTAGGAGAGCACCCTCGCTCTAACCCTAACTCTCAACTCTGGTCAAACGATTTTCACAACTCACGTTAGAGATCCGCCTGCCTGCTTTGCTTGCAGCACCCCAAGGCATCTGGCTGCCACTTCCCTCGGACCGGTGGCAGCTAGCCTTTGCCAAGAGCGTCCCCCCCCCCCCGCCCTCCACCGCCTTGTGGGGGAGAGACGAGAAGAGGGGC